ATTATAACTTATAAGTAGCATACAGTAGAGAAAGTAATAGCTTTGACTATTAATACAACACTTCTTTATCTTATACAACTTCTGTATCCAATAGTCAAAGGTAATAGTCAATTGAGAAGTGTATAGACCTAGTCAACGATACTACCTTCCATAGCATATATAGGGCGCTGATATAGGCACCCCCAAACGTAACCACAACTGAACACGATTTCATAAAATATGTAAACATTGTTATTTTTCTATTCTTTCCTTTAAAAGTGGAGCAGTAAAATAATTTGCATTTATCCTTTTTTATTAAGACTCGTGTACAGAGCCTCGATTTGTACTGTGGTTTAATTAATTTTGGTCCAAACATTTTAAACTGTGGTCTAATTATCTCTACTAATCTGACTTATTTTCTATAATCAATGACAAAATAAGAGTAAATAAAATAACCTCATAGTTCCATCTATATCTATACTATTATATAAAAATCTAATGGTGTCTGTCTGTATGTGTGTTACTAATAGGTGCAAAAAATACTGAACAAACTGGGCTAAAATTTTACAAAAATATAGTTACCATACCAAGGACCATTATAGGACTATTCACGTTTCGATACTGACCGTAGGCTTTGTCCCTTTGGCTTTAAAGGTCGTGAGGTGAAGATTTTAAAAGTAAATATTGATTGGTCTCCATGGCTGCGATGAGATCACTAACAACGTTTGTTTACATTTGCTTTGACATTTAAATGTAAACAAGAAGAACTGCTAAACTGCAAATTTCACTATTTCAGACAGCTGATACAAAGAAATTAAATATAATATTTTCCATAACTTTGAGGTAGGTTTATTTTAATCTAACCTTTTATCATGGATTATTTATTCTAAAACTATGTCAATGATTATATAATAAAAGATTCTATAACCGTTGCTGTATTAACTCCGGCTCTGTTTTGGATTTTTTTAAGCGTCTAAGTTATGAAAATAATGTTATTAATAATATGATTTCATGGAAACAGTATGAAAATTACAATGTATAGATATTTTATATGAATTTGGAGGCTACTTTAAATAAATTCTAACTCCTTAACATGTGTTAGATTAACTTAACATAACTTGCACATCACATTGTTTTTTATATGTATATTTAGGTAAATTAAGTTATTGTGTTTTGCTAAACCTATGCATGAATTAAACTAAAGAATATCATCAATAACTAAATTGTACTGTACGTCATTGATTTTTGTTTTTTTTAATCTGTTGTATATGTGTAACCATAATTAATTATCAAATGGTAATACAAAATACTCTTATTTTATCTTAACATAGCTTTCAGTTCACATTTACTTTATTTGATACATTTATTATTTGTGTTTTGCCACACCACTGATTAAATTAAGCCAAGGAAAATATCACAAAACTAAGCAGTGCACAGTGTTCTTTTGTTTCTAAAATCAATGAAATATCTGTTACTAGACTTTATGGTAAGTGTGAAAATGTAAAGCCAATGGACGATGGAACTGATTAAAAGAACTGGTTTGTATATTAAGTTGTTTGTTGATATTTTTTTAGAGTAGAATCAGAGATGCAATGAAACATATACTGTATTTGCTGTTAAATTGTTTAGTCCTTGATGCTTGGATAATCATATTAGTTTCGTCTGCTGTCTTAATGCTAAATTATTTGTTTGAAATTTTTTATAGTACCTATAGATATAGTTTCTTTAATATTTCAAAAGACTGTATTGAAAAGGCATAGCAATATTTCTAAAGTTTATAACAGCTGACTTAGTTTTGCTAATGATTTATTGTGAGTGAAGAAACTGAAGATGGAAGGATTTGTGATTTAATCTGTATAAAGAAGAGTGAAATAAAAAAAATGTTCATTTAAATTTAATAATTAGTAGTAACTTCAAAATTGAAATTTAAAATGTCAATAATAAATAAAAAGATATGTTATTAAGGGAGATGAAATGGTGGTATCCACTACTTACCAGATTTAAAAGTCATAACTTAAACGTTTCTATTAAGGCCATAAAAGTTGAATTTTGTTTCTAAAAGCGTTGGGGGATGTGTAACTACTATATGCAACAGATGTAAAAATTAAAATGTTTCTATTTTGTGTCCTCTTCCCGTTGCAAAGCACGGGTACAACAGCTAGTAGTTTATATTTACCAACTGTTACTTAAAACAAATTATATTGCTCTAAAACAAATCGAAGATTACAAAGATTGCTTTAAAAAATATTTTGAACATCCTAGTATTTTACTATGTATATTTAATTAATCTGTCATCCTCTTACAGAAGAATTGATCGTATCAATGATTAGCATTACACATAGTATAAATAAGTCAACGCTAAGTATGTCTTTACATTTTTATCAAAATGTATGGCTTAACATAACGTTAAGCAAATTATTTTATGCCAAAAGCTAGTTTAGAATCTTAGCGTCGGCTGCTAGACTTTTTAAAAATTAAAACTTAATTTCTAAAAAACTGGGATCCTAAACTAAAATTATGGCTTCGACATTCCCTAGTTCTCAAAATTATCTTTCTTTCAACACAAAAATCATGTAAATCCGTCGAGTGGTTGATTCAGAATCGTGAAATAAAAAACACTGTTTCGTTTTAATATTATAGATTTATATTTATATATGTGTCGTTAGCACGATAACTCGAGCAAAATTGATCCGATTTTGATGAAATTTGGTACAAACGTGTAAACCTACATTTATTCGAACGAGTTCGCGAACCAGCATAATCGGACCATGGAATCGGGGGTTTATGGGGGGTTTTATGGGGTAAAAATGGGTTTTTTCATTTTTGACCCTAAAAACTTTAAATTTCTAAATTTCTCTCTAGACCATTTTGAAGAGCTTAAAAAAACAAATAATTTAGTATATTGAAGTTTTTTTGAATGTTCATTGACTACGGAGAAAATTAAAGAAATTGTAAATTTAAAATTCCCATGTTATTTTTATGGAGAATAAATAAACTGTTCTAGTTTGCTTGTTTATGGATATATTTCAATCAAATTTGGCAATTTGGCTTATTTCATACTAAGCTATCAATATTTCAATTGAAAAACACACCTCAACATCTTTCCCGTAGCAGCAAACCTAACTACTCACTAAAATTAATGTTATTTAAATCCTACTAATATTATAAATGAGAAAGTTTGGATGTATGGATGTATGGATGGATGTATGTTTGTGACAAGTGAACGCGAAAAATACTGGTCGGATTGGGCTGAAATTTGGCATGATGATAGCTCACATTCCCGATTAACATATAGGCATATTCTTATTTCAAAAATCCTTTCGGGCTCCGCCCCAGTGGCTCTGGAGTTTCCCATGTTAACCTTATGAGAAATGAAATTATTGAATCTTAACAGCTGTTTCAATTAAACAAGTTGGTTCTGTTCTGTGATGTTCAATAGCATTAAAGTTATAAAAATTACCAACAGGGTGCAGCACTATTATTTCTTTTACATTTATGACAACAGCTAATTTGCAACCAAAAGGTGAGTGAGCGTAGCGAACGAACTTCAACCTGGAGGCGAGTTAGCGTAGCGAACGAGCTAACCTGAAGGCAAGTGAGCGCAGCGAACGAGCTCCAACCTAAAGGTGAGTGAGCGTAGCGAACGAGCTCCAACCTAAAGGTGAGTGAGCGTAGCGAACAAACTTCAACCAGGACGTGATTGAGCCATAAGAACGAGATAATCTTGAAAATTAAGAAGTTAAACGGGGCAAAGCCCGCGGGTTACAGCTAGTAGGAAATAAATCTGAAAATTTATAGGGAATATTTTAGTAGAAATCAAGCCGGGTGAATGGAAATTCGCTTAGTATGCAGGTTTGCTGCGACGGGGGTATTTTGGATTTTAACAAATTGCTTCTTAGTTGAATAGTTAGTTTGAATACGCTTAGGCCTACCTCATTGCTGCATTACAGTATAGTATGTTCCTACATAAAAATATGTAAAATCCCATGCCTAAATAAATTTATACATCTATGAATGTATCAATAAACAGATGAAAAAAATATTTTCTACCAGTATGTGTCATGGGGCGGATCTATGTTGGAGCTACTAAAGTTTTGTAACGTAAATATTTATTTTCTGCCTGTGTATTTCATGATGGTGGTCTATGTATGAGTTACTAAACTTGTTTAATGAAAACAGGCATTTTCTGCCTGTGTGTGTCATGATGTGGGTCTATGTTGGAGCTACTAAACTTTTGTAATGTAAACAGGTATTTTCTGCCTGTGTGTGTCATGGTGTGGGTCTATGTTGGAGCTACTAAACTTTTGTAATGTAAACAGGTATTTTCTGCCTGTGTGTGTCATGGTGTGGGTCTATGTTGGAGCTACTAAACTTTTGTAATATAAACAGGTATTTTCTGCCTGTGTGTGTCATGGTGTGGGTCTATGTTGGAGCTACTAAACTTTTGTAATGTAAACAGGTATTTTCTGCCTGTGTGTGTCATGGTGTGGGTCTATGTTGGAGCTACTAAACTTTTGTAATGTAAACAGGTATTTTCTGCCCGTGTGTGTCATGATGTGGGTATATGTTGGAGCTACTAAACTTTTGTAATGTAAACATGTATTTTCTGCCTGTGGGTGTCATGGTGTGGGTCTATGTTGGAGCTACTAAACTTTTGTAATGTAAACAGGTATTTTCTGCCCGTGTGTGTCATGATGTGGGTCTATGTTGGAGCTACTAAACTTTTGTAATGTAAACAGGTATTTTCTGCCTGTGTGTGTGTCATGGTGTGGGTCTATGTTGGAGCTACTAAACTTTTGTAATGTAAACAGGTATTTTCTGCCTGTGTGTGTCATGGTGTGGGTCTATGTTGGAGCTAATAAACTTTTGTAATGTAAACAGGTATTTTCTGCCTGTGTGTGTCATGGTGTGGATCTATGTTGGAGCTACTAAACTTTTGTAATGTAAACAGGTATTTTCTGCCTGTGTGTGTCATGGTGTGGGTCTATGTTGGAGCTACTAAACTTTTGTAATGTAAACAGGTATTTTCTGCCTGTGTGTGTCATGGTGTGGGTCTATGTTGGAGCTCATCGTAGAGTCGCAAGACTAACCGAGGAGGCAGGACACAGGTTTAACAGCACCGACTCAATAACATGTGAGGAACAACGCTGGTAAGTTCACTAAACATATTAAGCAGTCTCAAAGTTGCTGCAACGGTCAACAACTTATGATTTGAATGTGTTTTTCTCTAACATAAATATTGTTCGATACTCATAATTTATACTAGTTTTGTGTATGTTTGTTTGTGATTATCGTAGAAAGAGCATTTTATACAAAATTTACTAGAATACTAGATCATCTGCATACACAATATATACACAATACAGAGTGTAAATAAAGTATCGCACTGGTCTAATATTTTCTGAAAAATAACAGATAAAATAAATAAGATATGGTACATTAACATGAAACCTAAAAATCTCATTTTTTAAGGAACTATCAGTTTTCTGTCATACCATTTCAGTGTACCGCAAGGAGTCAGAAGAAAATCTTAAATAGGAGCATAGGATATGTATATAAATGTAAAGGATTTTACAGTACTAGCAAAATACGATGCCACAAATTTAAACTCAAGTTATTATACGCTACCTCCTCAAAGAGGGGGGGGGGGGGCAGCAGCTAGGAATCGGAAGAAAATCGTGATTGTAAGCATAGGTCGATATGCACATCAAATTAAAGATCTTTATTAGAAGATTACAATACCGCAAATTCTAGCTCAAAAGGACAATTGAGTAAAATATTGCAGCAGTTCAAAGATTCAAAATAGCAGATTCAAGAAATCTTTAATCGGCGGCCATTTTTGACTCGGTTGGCCGTTTTAGTTTAGTAAATACCTTTAATTCGATGTTTATATCAATCTATGTTCCTATTAAAGATTTCCTTCTGACTCCTTGCGGGACGTTCCCCATGATTAGGCAGAAAACCTATAGTTCCTACAAAAAGTAGATTTTTGGTGAAATATTTTATATTGTACCGAATCTTATTGATTTATCTGTTATCGTTCAGATCATTGAAGGACTTTATTTACACCGATTTACTCAGTCCCTAGGGATTGGGTGGGGATAAATCGTTGTCATTTTCTAAGATAAGTCTTTTCTCGCCAGTATTTACCGAGATGTTTTTAACAGAACATACATAATTTGCAATGTAAACTGGAATATTAACTTGTTTATGTAAGCAGCTGCGCTGCCATACTCCTTGTGTTTACTTTCCGCTGTTACTTTAGTAATCAACATGGCAAATTGCAAAACAATAACCCACAGGTAAATAAGAGTTAAATTTAAAGATAAGGTAAAAGTAGTCTGCTATGCAAATTCTCTTCAGCACATACCCTATAGAATATTCCGGATAATCATATAAATCACTTGTTTCTGTAAAATTATATCACTTACAAATTCCTTTTAATCTTCTACAAATTGACTTAGGCCTCATGGTGGAAGGAAAAACAAGGCCTATATCAAACTATCGTAAATGTGACAGATGACAGTTGCAAAAAGTTTAACAAGTTTTACCCACTATGAATGATGATATGTATACAGGGTGTCCAAGAAAACGTTTCAGGACTTTGGTATACCACTCTTCATAGAAAAAGAAAGAAAAAGTTCTTGATATTTTTTTCATAAAATTGGTTATCTTTTGCAATTAAAGTTATAAAATTAAAACAGCCACCATGTGGAAATTTAAAGTCGAATCAACTTAACTTTTCTTCGAACATAGGCTACTTTAACTCAAAGGTAAAAATTATAAAGTATATAAAAATGGTGAATATACAGGTAAATTTGCATTTTCGGACATACTTTCACATAAAAACATAGATTTAATTGCTTCAAAAATGGCCGCCATTTCCCAGAATGTCAGCAAATTTAAAAGTAGGAAAACTGTGTATGATCTTTTTAGAATGAAGATGCAGTTTTAAGAAATATTTACTCGTAGCAATTTCTCTCTAAACCTACTAGTTTATGAGCTACATGACGCAGAATGTACACCACAAATCATTTTTCCTTAGTTATAACATGCTGTAAAATCCTAAACAAGTAGCTTTAGAGAAAAAATGCCAAAAACAAAAACGTTTTTAAATTGCATTTGATTTCTCGAAATAAAACATAAAATACAGGGTCTTCCATAAGGAAAATCTAAGTAGGTGGCCATGTTGGAAAAATGGCGGCTAAAATATTTTTTTCAACTTGACCAAAGTTTTTTAAAATAGAAATACGTTCAGTTTACGTTTCCAACAAGAACGATTTGGTCTGGAATTTGATTCACATGACCAGGTCACCAAAATGTGGCACCTTTACGCCACACTTTTTCGCCACACTATGATATTTTTAGCTGTTTTACACACGTTAATTGGTGGCTTAAAGTTACGTTTTGCTGGCCATGCCAGCTGTCATCGTCATTTGGGGACCAAGCAGGGTTTTACATCCCTAGGGCCGCAAAATTAGCTGCCCGCTTACTTTCTTAAAACATGAATGCTTATTAAATACACAAATCAGTATCCATGCATTGCAATAGAATTGTTTTATTGTCTCCACTGCCTAGCAACTATTTATTATTATTTCTGCTGATTCCTCAAATTATTTCTTCACATAACTTTAAAGTTGTAGTTTTGTTGACTATCAGTGTGTATCATTATTGTGGTGAATAGTGGTAATAGGGTATAGCGTGGTGAAAAATAGCGTTCGTACCACGGACCGAAATGGTTTTGCAGCTCTCTTCGGCCCTAGGTACGAAATATACTATTTGTATATCGTAATACTAACAAATAATCACACCTGAGGTAATAAATTGAAAGAATAACAAACAAATAAGTAGGCCTACAGCTAAGGTATTTTCGCATAGTATTGAACATAACGTCGAGGAAAACGTTATGCTTAAATTTGAGTAAGTTAATTCTAGTTACATCTTAGAGTTGTTTGAAAACTTGTTAGAAACTAATTTTAAATATCTCTATTTGCGTCGTCAAGGATCACCTACATTATTTCTGCTCTAAGTTTTAACTGATAACTTCTAAGAAATGCTAAACACCCTGCTTCAATTCGAGTTAGCATGTTGCAACAAAGTTTTTTCATCATTGAGAAACGAAGAAAACTGTTGCTTTACTGAGTTAACCTGTGTTACGTATTTTAAGTTGGGTAAGTTCTTTATTTTTTTTCATTGATTTGAGACATCCCCTAAACCAACGAATTTTCTCCGTAGGGAATCTTGTAAAGAGGGGTGATGTCAACCATTTCACGTGGTTCATGTTTAACCCACAAACTCTGGGTTAAAACACGGTCATAATCCGCTTTTAGCAGCAAGCAGCAACACCATTGAAAGTTTATTAACGTATTTTAACGTGTTGTCTGTCAGTCACAGTATATTTCTCCCCGCATCAGATCATTCTCACGTTGTTCAGTGGAGTTTCTCTTAATACTTGTCCCGAAGTTTTGAAAGTATAGTATGGATTCATTTGTCAAAATAGGTTGGATAACTCTTGTAGCTATAAAATTTGGATAACAATTTTCATTTTATCTTTTTGAACAGCGTATATTATTTGAGTATCCTGAATCATAAAAATAAACTTGACCGTAACAACTCGATCGTTGAATACATCGCTGAATGGATTGCAGTGTTATTGTATGTTTCTGTTTGCCGTTAAACGCTATAATCCAAATAATTTAACTTGCTTATTAAACACATTTTAAACGGGGAGACAATCATACAGTAACTAACAGCACACGGACAGTAAATTTTATTAATCTGTTATGTCGTAAACATTTGTAAATATAGATTTGGCCTAATGTTGAAGCTTTTCCATATTTGGGGAGGGTGAGGTCCTAGAAGGCGGGTTTTGCCTTCATGGATTGAATGAGACTCCTGACGCAGGTAGAGCTGAGAATTATAAGGGTCAATCTGGGACCGTAGGCGAGTTGAGACTAATTAGGTTACGGGCGAAATGAAACTCGGGCGGAATAGGACTACACGCCTGTGCATCGCAGGGAAAATCCACGAACACTGTTAGAGAGATACTTGCCTGTAGATGTGCAGAATCCGTTTATACATTAAAATAGACTAAAAAATAAGCACCAAAAATTAATATAAAATAATAACAAATAACATGGGCCTAATGGGCTGCTATGTTGGCGACGAAATAACAACAAAATATAAACAGAGAATCAAAACAAATGGAAGAAGTTCCAATCAAATTTTTTATTTACAGCTTAGGGTGAAAATAGAGAAGTTTGCACAATACAAATTTTTGATCAAGTTTTTGGCCACGAGGCGAGCTCTAGTTTCAATTTAAAAATGGTTTCATCTGTTATAACTTTCAAATAACACAGATTTTACACATATATAAATCACCCTGTTTATAAGATATACTCTCATAGAGTAATAGATTGTTGAAAATGTTTATATACAATTAAATAAACAGATAAAAGTCCAGATCCATCCTTGAACAATTTGAGTAGTTAACCTCTCAATTTTAAATCTAGCTGTTGCTGGTTTGAACCTTAGTAGTCAACAGTTGCTATTTGACATTGAGCTTTAGAACAACAGGTCGACGTTAGGTGGTAAACATTCAGAGTTAAATCTGTTTTCCTATTAAACACGGAAAATTGCAGCTTGTTTCGTGATACGTCAAGTTCAAATACCATCCAATCAAACTAATTAACACTGAAGTACCTAATTGTTTGTTGAATATCAATAGTGTAACTCGTGTCGAGTTGAGGTCACATTTAATTGGTAATAGAATAACTCAATTTCGCGTAAATGTTACCTAAAAACGAGTTCATATGTAACATATTCCACGATACAAGAAGTAAACTGGTACAGAGAGACAAGCACCAAGTAAACTTGTTTGTTTGAGCGAATTTCCCATATAGGGAATAAGATATTACCGTAGTACTCATGGTAAGACCTGGTATATTATATTATTACCTGGTAATTTAGTATATTGAAGCGTTATTATGCGCCTAATGGTTACGGAGAAAAATAAAAAAAATTAAAATTTAAAATTCCCATGTTGTTCTTATGGAGAATGAGAATAAGCTAACTGTAGTTGTTTGCTTGTTTATGCGTATATTTTGATCATATTTGGAAAATGCATTACTAAACTATTAACATTGTAAAA